GAAAAGTTAACGTATCATAGTAAAGTGACCAAACGATCTAGACAGCCGTTCTCGGCACCAAAACATACTCCATCATGTTGTTTAAGCATGTTCTGAATCCTAAATTGATATCTCAAAAATTGAGTGTTCTATGATTTTTTGAACAAATGTCCGCTGGAGCAAATTTTTCTAGAAAAATTCGAATAACTCGAGAATTGCTCTTTCAAATTGCAAAAAGTAAAGTTATTTATAAACCTTCAAAACAGACAAATCCAAATATGTAAAAATATACAGAGTGTTCTATTTAAAAAAATAAAGTAGGTGGCGACTTCCGGTATAACCGGAAGTGCTAGAAATCTGAAAATATTTTAGATGCAGAGAACGTAATTGATAATACTTAAGTCTGCAATCTCAAATTTTTTGTTTGGCCAGAACCCCAGAAACGTCTAATGACCGGTCTCGCTGAGACACCCTGTATGTTATTTTTAGTTCTTTTACTTTTTTTGATTCCTTACTTTGTGGTATCTCCTAATCTCACGCAATGCAAGAATGTGTAGCCCAACTCGAGTATTTCTGCAAATTCGGTCTTAATAGTTTCTTTATTCTCCCAATACTTTGCTCTCTCCCAGGCTAGAAGGTTAATCGGTGCTCCAATCAATCTGGATATCACGTTTTGTATCCTCGCCGCTTTTTCAGATATTAATTTTAAGTGGACTATCATTTTCAACTTTCATCTTCGATTTGAGGACCATGTTTTTTAGGTATTCTACAACTTTTGTGATGAAGTACTAGGCCTCCATCGCAGGATCTTTCGCGAAGCTCACAACTCCGACTTTTTCGTCATGTTCTATGTTGAGGATTTTGTTTTCTTTTGGAATTGTCTTCCGCTATCCATTTAGGAAGAAAATTGTTATTGCCTTTGTGGCTTTCTTGATAAATTTTTCTAGTAACTTTTTAACTACATGAAGTTAAGATGAACTGAGATTACCGTTACATAGGATAGAAGCAACTAAAAGATATCCTGTTTTCTGGGGAGTTAAATTTTTCAACAAGTTGACAGAAAAAGTCAAAACTATGGAACGATGACACTTCAAAAAATGTGTGAAGTCAAATCTGGTCAAGAAAGCTTAGTATGTATGGTCTGATTATATGCAGGATTAATTTGTAGAGTAACAAAGTAATTTTTTTATTACTATACAGAGTGTTCCGTTAAGCGTACGGAGCGGCTGTATCTCGACAACGGTAAGGCCTAGAGGTTTGGGAAAAAATCTGTATAAGCAAAGTGACCAAGAGAAATAGCTGGAAATTATTTTGAAGTTCGTAATTCGACCGCTAGGGGGCGTAACTGCCATAGAGAAACATAAAATTCCCGCTATCTCAGAAAGTTAGACGATGAGCTATAACTTTGACAACATCATTTAGTAGCTTGGATAATACCGCATCGCTTTTGTTTTGCGATATTTCTCAATCTGTCATAATAAGGGAGGGGGAGGCCAATGCGTTTTCAAATGTTTACATTTTAATATCTCCTGGACCATTCAACCGATTTGAATATTTTTGGTGTTGTTTGAAAGAGCATTTTATGCTCATTTTAAAGATATTTTCAATAAGACCGTTTGCTTCAAAACAAATAAGCTAGAGGGCGTTATCTGCAGCGATTACATATTTTTGTGATTTTTGAAGAAAAGTTAAATGGAACGATACTATTTACTTCACAGATTCTTAGTCACCTTAAAATTTGCTAAATTTTGGTGAAAACCGCATCTCGATATCGCCATCCGTTCTCGAATTATAGAAGAAAATGTTAAAAACTCGAGTGCCATCAATCGGATCCAGTGACCTCATCGATAAAAACAAATCACATAACCATGGTAACTGTAAACATGTCATTTACTAACGCAGAAGCGTATGATTGATAGAGCGTATGATGATTTATTTTCAATGTTTCGAATACGATGCAACTTCATGGCAAAAATGTGCAATGCAATTACGACAAAGAAAGACATTTTTCTCTAGAAGTGTTTTTAAGATTGACTTAGCGATTACGGAAAACTGGCAACGTGTAGCCCATTCAGACATCTCTATGAATTCGTAAATCACATTGGTGCGCAATGTGATCCCACATAATCTGGGAACTCCGAAAACAATTGTCCACAAGAGTTCTCAAGAGAATAATATCTCCACCACGTTGTTTTACATCAGGCCTTAACAGATACCGATTATGATAACAGACTGAACTATTACCATTGACTTTTAAATATGATTTGGGCAAATCCAAACCTTTTATCACAAATGCTATGGTTGCATGAAGCATCTGTCCACAAGCTGATGTAAACTTGCATAATATGCATTCTTGATTCGAGCAAAACCCACATTGCTTTCACCCCTTTATCTATTGGGTAGACTAAACGACCTGACTTTTCAAGAAAAACCAATAACCAGGGAAAATATGACAAAACCAAGGACAGTAGAATCTAACAGGACTGCTACATCCATTGTTGTGACAACCTGCCCGCAAACTACGTCACACCATTTTCCACGCCCAACTGTTGTTATGGTCTATACGTTTGCTGTTTATTTTTAGAGGTTATATCCTAGACGTATTCATATTATTTTTGAAGTTTTATGTTTTTATACGTATTAATGTCTATCATATAACCTCTAAAAATACAGACAGTTACCAGGCGTGGCAAATAGCGTGACGTAGAGTGCGGGCAACCAACCCGTAGTGGACTACAAAAATACAATGGATGTAGCAGTCCTGTTAGATTCTACTGTCCTTGGACAAAACACCAAATACCAGTAGAAACGTATCTAGGGCCGAGACTTAAGCAGCTTATCGAGAAAAACAAAGCACATAGCCATGGTAACTATGGTAACTAGTTGAAAACATTGCGCTTTGACAACTGTCAAAACTTAATTCAAATAGTAATTGTCGGTTACAATTATTTTGTTTTACAATCATGTCTTTTACTAACGTAGAAGCGTATGATATGTTACGTATTTATTTTCAATGTTTGGAAAATGCTGTAATTACATCGCGCGAATATGCAATACTCTACAAAGAAGACATTTTTCACGAGACGTGTTTTCAAGATTGGCTAGGCGATTACGGGAAACTGGTAATGTGCAACCTATTCAAGCACCTATAAGAACTCGCATGCATCAAGGAAAATATTATTAATGTTTTGGCCTACGTACAATTCGACCCCACATTGAGCACGAGAAAAATTTCCGACGACCTGGGAATCCCGAAAACAACTGTGCATAAGATTCTTCAAGAGAATAATATGCATCCCTACCATATTATTTTACATCAGGCCTTAAAAGAAGCCGATTATGATAACAGACTTAATTATTGTCATTGGCTGTTAAGTATTATTCGTGAAAATGAAAATTTTTTTATCAGAAATACTATGGACGGATCTTTCAATAGCGCAGGTGGTGTAAATTTGCATAACATCCATTATTGGTCGGAGCAAAATCCACATTGGATGCGGCAGATAGAGCATCAAAATTGCTGGAGTTTGAATGTATGGTGCGGAATTGTGGAAGGAAAACTTATAGGCACACATTTTTTTGACGCAACACTTAACGGAGAACGATTTTTGGAATTTTTGAACGTTTTCCTTCCACCCCTTTTAGAAAACGTCTCCTTGGAAACAAGAAGGAACATGTGGTTTCAGCTTGATGGTTGTCCGGCGCACTATGACCGAAACGTACGTCAGCATTTAGATGAACTGTATCCGAATCGTGTTATTGGAAGGGGCAGTCTATCTCCTTGGCCGGCGCGTTCCCCGGATCTAACTTGTTTGGATTTTTATCTATGGGGTTGATTAAAAAACCAAGGAAAATATGATGGAGAGAATACAAAGTTCCATTAGAAATTTGTCCAAGGCTGATATTCAAGCAGCAGTTTTTTCCACCGAAACTAGAGCAAATAAATGCATCGAGAATGATGGAAAACATTTTGAACATTTATGAGCTATTTTTAGCTAAAAGTTTAGTGTTATGGTTTATTTTGTTTTATTGTTATAGTTGATGTTTCGTTGGTCCGTTGATCTTTAAACACGCTTCAAAAATGGTTTTGAACCAGTAGAAGGAACCTCTGGATAAAGTGTGAAGGAAGGCTCTACGTAATANGCAGGAAGACTTCTGGATACACCATAACCCAGTTCTGTGGCATTTAAATTAAAAATGGTTTTTGAAATTATATTTTCCACTCAGCATATGAAAACTAAATTATAAAAAAAAATGTAAAAACTGTTGTATTCGTCCACTTTACGTTAATTGCGTGGGTCCCTGTTGTTTATCTCTCCTGGTAAATTTGTTTGTTCCTACCGGTTAAATTACCCCTAATTGGTCTCCCGACCGTAATTTTCCTTCAGCTAACGGCAGGCAACAGACAAACCTCCAGAGCTATTTCAACATTACGATAATTCCGGTTGTACCAACGACTGACGTTCGCGAAAAAAAAAGAATGAATCCATCTTCCGTACGAAATGAAAAACGACCGCGTCTTTAAGAGATTTATTAACGAATTACATAGGAATTCGCGCAACATGTCTTTTACAGAAGAAAAACGGGTGGAATCTCGATTCAAAAAGTCTCATTGAATGTTATTGATGAGTATAAATCGGAGTGATTTTTAAAAATTTTTTTAGTATTAATTTATTACCTCACCTTCGATTTTTTTTTATTATCTGAGGTCACACCTCATCCCAGTTTTCTTGTGTATGAAACATACACACACGTCTTATTGAGATAAGTGGTCGCGTGTTGTTAACACTGACAGGTCGAAGCCGATAACTTCTGGTACTCGGGGTTATTTCAACACGTTGTATTAAAAATGGCTATCGAACGATCTCTTTCACTGTGTTGTTTCGTTTTAATCTTAATGTTATTGCAAAATCTATTGTTTCTTCTTTATCTTTTTTTTTATTAAGAATTTTTGTGTCAATGATGAAATCGAATGGAGAAATTGAGGATGTAAATACTTTCACTTAATAATAGTTGATTTCTCAGTACTTAAGAGAAAGTCGAATTATAAAATTAGAAATGAAATTTTTAATTTTTCTTAATGATGCAATTTTTATTTATATTAATATATTAATTTTATAACATTATTTTTTGAAATTTTCCCCTTCAATTATTAAACAGAATAAAACCTCCTTAGTTTTAATATTTTTAATCGTGTGTTCGACCCGAAAAATTCCTTCGGGGATTGCTTGGTAAGAGATTTTTGAAAAATCCAACTTATAATCTTTCATTATATAATCGCCTTTTGGTACGGGGCAAGTTCCCGGGTTAACTCCTGAAGCCTTTTGCATATCGTGAAAGAATGGCCCCACAAATTTTTTAAGAGCCTCGCATGTATCCTCGTCATATAAAGAAACTAATCGTGCGTATTCATCTTTTTGGGATTGTTTCATCGTGATCGAAATATTAAACTGCAATAAAATAAACACAAAATTCTTTTTTTTGAGATAATAAATATATTTACATCGGAATCTTCGCCAAAATTAACTTTAAAATGACCTTCCCCGCTTAAAAATTGATTTCCAGCGTCATCTTTTCTAAATTTATAAATTACTTTTAGTGGGTAATCGTAAGATGGGTCGCACACTTCGAATTTTGTCACTTTGAAATTTCCAACTCCAATTATTTCGTTTGAATTCTATTTAATTTTAATTTTATTTATTTTATTGTTAATGAAAATTTTGATAATTAGAGTTTTCTTACCCCTGGAATAGCTATAAAAGCTAAAACAACTAAAATCACTCCAAAAAACATTTTTATTTTTACACTTTTTGATTCATCTAAGTTTTGCTTTAATGAAACTCGCTTTTATATAAAAATTTTCGATCTGATACGTTTTTGGTTTCCGTTTATGATAATTCCATCATCAAATATGAATCAGGAAACGATCATTTCGAAATAATGTTTCGAAACTAAAATTGTTGCAATAATACATAAAAATGTACATTATTCTTAATCATCTTGAACAGCACGTGATTGCAATTAGTTACATTTGAAATTCTATCAAATGGAAACTAAAATAATCAGGTTAAACTGCTCACGAGATAAGATTTTTCAACTTAAGTAGTAATAGGTTATCGATTTCTGGGTGCTCGTTTATAAACAGAACTCTTTCTCTTTTTATTCTCAGCGATTAAACTGCAAAAAGTAATTTATTAAAATTAATTGATTAAAAAAAATCGTCTTAATCGTTCTAGGTCTAGTCTATTCTAAGTTTTAGTTGTTATTCAGCGCTACATTGTTATATTTATTAGTGGTGGAACGGATATCCGGTACCCAACCCAACCCGTTTTGAAAAATAACTTCGTTTTTGAGAAAACAATATTTGAAGTTTTGA